GTCCTCCTCTGTTCCAGGAAGTAGGCCAAGAAAGGCTTAATCTGCTCTGTCCAGTTCGAGCACTGGACGCTTACCCACACAGAGCTGCCCCGTGGCGTAAGGCAGATAAGCTATTTGTTTGTTTTTGGTTCACCAAAGAAAGGATCTCCGGCGACCAAGCAGACCATGAGTAGTTAAAGGCGATTTTCTCAATATTTAGATTTTTTTGCACCCTCAGTTTCTAGATTTTCAAATAGTTGTATCTCGGCCAAATATTGTCTTATCCTAACAAACCATACATTAATGGAAAATCTCAATTTAAAAAAATGTACACTTATGACTGGTTTTCTGGTCCAGGGTCACATATTAGGTATGACTTGATTGATGGACTGGACACCAATAGAGATCATGCATAAAACTGTCACTTGAATCATTTGTTTCTGATGCATTTTGTACCTTAGTTCATTTGTTTAGTTCAAATTTAACACAGCAATCACTTGGATTGAAAGATTGGACCATAAGGAATAGAAAACCATTTCTATGAACAGAGAGAAAGCTGCAATAAACCCATTGAGCTTTGTTGATCCATCCTAAACATTCTGACCAATAAAGGAAGAGTTTACTCATATCTCTGCTGAAGAAATAAATCTTAAAACCAGCAAAAACTGGTCTTAGTTGGTCTCTTAGGCTGGTCTGTTACCTTGCCTGATTTTGCAAGGGTTTTGGGCACTTTTCAGCTGGTCAGTCTGAGAGACAACTGACCACCCATCTAAACAACAGTTTAGCCAGGCTCTAAGACTAGCAAGACCAGCTAAAAACCAGCCTGGCCAGATTGGGAGACCATCTTAAAGCCATATAGAAAGCTATTATAAACTCATTGAGCATTGATGATCCATCTTAAACTAGCCTAAACTGGATTGCTGGTCTTATTTTGGAGTCCAGAAATTCAATTTAGGCTGGTTTAAGTGGGGGGGACTGCTTAAGCAGAGATGTGATTTTTATTAACAAATGTTGGTCTTTTTTAAATGTAGCAAACCAAATCGAGGAGAAAATGCACCATTGTAACAATTATTCCATAGTCAATGTGTTAAAACAATCACATCCAATCAGAACATATCTGATGCGTAAGTGCATATATGGAGCAGGATTTTAGACCAATGAGATCCCACAGTAGGCAAGGCTAGCCAATGCAACAAGACTGAAACCAAAAAACTGTCAAAATGTCTTGTTGCTTATCATGGTAGCAAAAGGTTAGGACAAAAACTTATATGTGTTGCTTATTGTTATGTTGCATTGTGCCTGGCAAAAAATTCAAAGTGAGACACTTTTATGACACCGGTGGTATAAGATTAAAACAAAATGACCACATAAACTGCAGGGAGGAAAGACAATATATGTCACAACCTGAATATGAAAATATGTGGAAACTCACCCCGGTCACATATCGCGGTCTGAGCTGTACTGTCCCAAAGAGGCCTAGAATCACTGTGATGATATGGATGAAGTTTGTGAGGATCGGAGCCCATTGGTATCCAAGGAAATCAAATATCTGTCTCTCCAGAATGCTGATCTAGAAACCAAACACAGAGGAAAAGATACTGATTTACAAAGCAAAGACGAGGACAATACATTGACATGCAAGCATTTATTTGCATAAAGGCGTAAACAGATTTCCTTTTAAGCCAGCTTCAGGGGTTGCTGTTATGACAGTGCTCTGATGTCAGCTGGAAGGCAGGGTGAGACGACGGGCTGCGGGGCCACATGTGAAAGCACATTCTACATGCAGCCAGAGGAATACCCCTGTCACACAGGCGATTAATTAGGACCGAGACGTGCCGCTCTCCGGAGTCAAACCCCCCACCCTTTCGCAAAAACCAGAGACGACTTGGAAATTAAAGCTGGCAAGTCCAGCCTCGCAGCTCTGGGTGCTCCAATCTCAGTCACTGATTGGACATGACACTGATGTCAATACCACAAGCTATGGCACTTCCAAAAGCAGACCAGGACGGGGTCACGGCTTCATCCCCAAAGGACCTACAAGCAGCCAGCCTCATAAAGCTAATGCTAATAGCCCCCGTGTCTTCAGCTGCATTCACAAGAATCTCTGTTTAACAACCTCAGATGTTCAAGGTCTTTTCTGGGAAGGAAACCAAACAAAAAAATCACGCCATTGAATTACTTGCTTTTCCTTGTGATGTAATGGGGGATAGTAAAGAGCAAAGATTCAGGATGAAGGTTGTTAAATAAAGCTATTGAGGTCACAATGACATTCGAGTTTTCAGCGGTCGCATTTTCAAACATCTACTCAAGTGAACATCAATAGAGGCTTCAGAGCGTTCAATAGCAGCATGAATATCAAATGACTTAGAGTCGCACCAAGATGCTGTATTTAAGTGTTTCCTATTCAGTGCTGTTTTTGCAGCAGGGGAGAGAGACCCTGTTCAACCCTACAGCCCACCCATTGGATCATATAAATAAAATATTTCAAGTTTTGCTGAGAAAAACATAAAAATTAGCTATTAATTGAGATTGGTTTAATTATAACATTGACTAAATGAACAATTATTCAAATTATTTGAAACAATAAAAATACAAAAATAATACATTATTTAAAAAAATTATTTAAAAAAACCTATGGATTTAAACCAGAAGACCGTGACCACGGGGGCCACAGGATTTAAAAAATATTTAATTATATCATTTAATAATTTTAAAATATTTATTGGTACATTTATTTTTATTAATTAAGAATTATTCTAAATATAAAAATGCTAAATAATTCTATTGATTTTACTGAAAAAGTATTCATGCAGAATTAGAATCTTGAATATTCTGGAAACACAAAATAAATCATGGTTCATTAATTTATTATATCAACACTCCCAGTTTCTGTTAATAAAAAAGCTCCAAGAACAAGCAACGCATAAATACAGCATAAATACTGGAGGCCTTGCGAGTCAAACTTAAACTATCATATGAGGAGTAATAATACTAATTTAAGTATTACAAACCTTGAACAAAACAGTTCTTGCTATGGCACATCAATAAAAATAAAAGTCCTGTGGTTCAGTTAATCAGAAGTTAATTCAGTAACCACTCTGACAAAGTGATTCATTCAGTGAAGGATTTGTCAGACTGATTCAAACTCTGTATCTTATCACATTCAGTTTAGATGGCAGTGTCAATCAAATGAAAACATTCTTCTTCTTTTTTTTTGCCATGGCGCTGTAGGTTTAATGACAGTCTATGAAACACTGCTGTTTGTAACTGAGCAATAGTTCATGCTATAAATTTGTTCACCCATGAACAAAGCTCAGGAGTCTATTAATCTGTGCATACTGTTTAGTTTTGCCCAGTGATGACCAGGTTGTGACCCCCTCCATGATCTCCCCAAGGGACGTGTCTTCTGTTGTCTGGGTGTTTTCTTTGAGCTTCTGCTAGCGTACATCTGGTAAGCGTGCCTGTCCCAAACACTTATGTCATTGATCATAATGAAAGGTATTATACTGACAACACCAAGCAACACCACCACACTTCACACAAGTCTCTAGATTACGAATCGTCACAGCTCTAGGGTGCAGATGAGATTAGTTTTGTGTCAGAATAAAAATGGCTCCCTTCCCAAGTGGCATCTACTTTTTTTTTTTACCACAATAATATTCTGCCTTCCCATTCAGCCAACCCAATGGCACCAAATAATTCTCTGGTTTCGGTGTGTTTTATGAATCATGGCATGTGATTTCCCCCTGCTCTAGCTCTTCTTTATTTTCACTGTCCTCCATATTTCTAGTATGAAACAGAAGGATGAAAAGACAAATGCATTACCATCTGTTTTCTTAAAGGAATAGTTCACAAATTAAAATTCTGTTATTTACTCACCCTCATGTTGTTCCAAACATACAGACTTTCTGAAACTTGAACTAATTATACCGGTTGCACTATTCTATGCAATTACAATGCATGGGAACGGAGGTTTTCAGTCTTCTGAAAAGGACACAAAAGTACCATAGAAGTATCACTTCAATAAGACTCATGTGCTATATTGTAAGTCCTCTGAAGTTGCACAATAGCTTTGTGTGAAGAAACTGAAATTTAAGTTGTAACACAAAAAATCTGATCTAGCTCTCCTTTGAATGTTCATGAGAATTCATGGGAAAAGTAGCAATGCCCAACTTGTGAACAAATCATTTAAGAGTCAATAAACTGACCAATCTTGTTGGCAATACTGGTCTGAATGATTGGTTCATGAATCAGGTTCTCAAGTTCAACTCAGTCACAGTGGATAACAGTCACAGTGGATAACAGCTTACTGGAGGGGAAGATTATTAGTAAATAATGACTCAAAATTTGATTTACTCCCATGGTGGGCTTCAGAAAACTTATAATATAAAGGTATAAAGTCACATGGTCTAATTTTGGCATTTTGGAGTCTTCATTCTAGCATGGAAAAGAGCGACCAGTACAAATCTTCAAACAATCTCCTTTTGTGCTCCTCAGAAAAACGAAAATACAAGTTTGAAATGCCAACTGGATTCATTTATAATGAATAAATGTATATTGAAACCTATTCATAATAGGTTGTTTTCCATTATCCATGAAAAACAGCGTAAACATGAGCCGGAGAGCATGATAGCACTATGCGCAACCCATAACACCTTCATTATCAAAAGCTCTTCTTGTCAGATGAGGCATGTATTACACCGTATTCTCAGAAGAACTGCTCGCCCATAGTCGTGCACAAGCACACGAGAAAAAAGCATAACGTTTGATTGACCCAACTCAGCGGTTCCATTGCTTTTGTAAAGCCTTGTGAAAAACTACAGCCACCCCTGAAATCCACTAATAAACCAGAGTGCCATGGTGTTGGAGGAAGCCCATTTGCCAGCACAAAATACAATCTGCCCTGCCTGCGAAGAGGTTGCAAAATGCAAATATGGCTAATTATGCTACATTATGTTGTTCGGTGAAAGATAGTGTGTTGACAATGGCTTTAAAACACATCTTAATGGCACACATATTCACAGTTCTCTTCTCTTAGGCTTTTGTGGACACCTGCGCTTATTGACAGAATTCCCAAAAGAGCCCTAGCATTAACATGCATGTCCAATGGGGAGTAAAAGCTTGAGGGGTTTTATGAGCAGGCTGCAGGCTCTTGTTTGAGGTGGGGGGCAAGATCATCATTAATGTGGCCCCTGGGCCTCCCTTTTATATAAGCAGTAATGTAAACAGCATTGTGGGGCAGCTGTGCTCGGAATGACAGATTTATCAAGTCATTTTTACACGAGTAATTAGATCTATAAATATGAGAGGAACATCCTCTCATAAATGATCAGAAGATCGAGATTTGGAAGTGGAAAGGCCTTAAAAGAAGAACTTTGAAGGCCTGACTACTCACTGACAACAAAGAGATTGCCTACGGTATCAAGCAGACATTCAGTACTTCAGAATAGTATGCACGAGTATGTATCTATAAAAAAATCATAACACTCATTGTGAAGCTTTAAAATCTCAGAAACGTTCAAAGCCACTGAATAAGCTGACACATAATGTTCAAAAGTGAGGATGTGGTAAGATTACTTTTGAAAGAAGTTTTTGAAAGTTTCTTATGCTTACCATGGCTGTAAAAACAGTAATATTATGAAATATTATTACATTTCAAATAACTGCTTTCTATTTGAATATATTTTAAAATGTAATTTATTCCTGTGATGGCAAAATTGAATTCTTAGCTGACAATGCTCCAGTCCTTAGTGTCACATTATCTTCAGAAATCAAATATTATCAATAATGTTGAATCCAGAAAAATACATTTTTTCCATGATAAACATTAAAAATACATATATTTCAGATAAAATATCTTGTTTTGTAACAATGTAAAACTTTTGATCAATTTAATGTCTCTTTGCTGAATAAAAACTAATTAATTTCTTAAAAAATATACTGACCCCAAACTTTGAATGATAGTACACACACATTGGACCAGACATCAACTCAATTCTACATTAAATACAGCACGTTTCTACAATTTACATTTATGTATTTGGTAAACACTTTTATAACTTACAGTGCATTCAATGTAATCATTATACCAGTATGTGGGAATTGAACCATTGACCTTGCTGGCTCCATGTTTTGTCAGTTTGAGCTCTGAGAACATTGCTTCAAGCTATTAAAGTGGTAAACAGCCTACAGTTAGCATAATGAACAGTATAACTTGGCGGAATAATTTTTTTGTGCGATTATTAATATTAATACACGCAATTATTTATTGTACATATTGCAGTTGGCATCATTTTATACAAGCAATAAGCCACTCGAGACCATATGCTCTACCATTATACCACGGCCGAGGAGAATTTTTGTCTTGCTTTTTGGTAACAACACCCCTTAACTGTGGTGAGCAGTGAGAGTGTCAAGCTAAAAGCATCACTAAACCGATTCCGTAATGAATATCAAATCCAAAGGTCAGCATAACCAATTCCTGTAATGATATTTTCCCTTCCTTATGTGCACATAATGTTTTTTCATGATTATTACTTGGCAGCAGAAGCATCCCATTAGCGATTAGCT